GCATTTCAGGCATTTTTTTCTTCAGCTGTGTGTTCAGTTTTGCATCCTTAGTTGACTCTCAGATCTGTCCAGCTGGATACACCATCCCCAGTATATTGACAATTCTATTCTGTAGAGTGTGAAAAGACATAGTGGAGCTGAACTTACAAAACCTTTTTATAATAATGTCTTTGTTTCCAGCATCCCACAGATGTACCATTATTTAGTTACATGTCTCATCCCATTTATTCTTCCAGTCTGGGAAGAAAAGCTTGCATCTTTAACCTTGCTGGGCATTATACCTTTGGCTTGCCTCCCCTCCCTCCCCTGGTCTAAATTTCACATTAACATCTTCTATCTGTAGCTTCAGGAAACAAGACTAATTCTTTCCTCTCTTTCTCTATACTACTCTGAGGTGCCACACAAGGTACCCAGAAGTGTGGCTGTAGCAATAACAATTTAATTTTAATTTAAACAATTTAATTTAATTTAAACAATTTAAATTTAATTTATTCTCTGAGAATTCAAAGGCTGTCACCAGTGAGTGTGACCTCACAGGAGCCTCCACCCCCGAGGGCCTTGTCCATAAGCACTCTCCATATCTTTCCTCCAGACACTAAACTTTATTTTTATTTTCTTACATATGTGATGCAAGGTACACAATGTTTGTGTTGCCTTCTTGCTGTGAGGCAGCCACTTACCACCCAGTGCTGCTCTCAGCCTGCTGTAAATTGTGGGCTCACTGCAGAGAACCAAATGGCCAGAGCACCTCCCTCTCCGCTTGCTGAACTCTGCTCCAACACAACACTCTTTTTCTGCCTCAAAAATAAATGTAAAGGTATGTATAGTATGTTAGCCCCTCCTTAGCCTTTCCCACCCTGAAACTTTTCAAACAGGGATGGCATGTTCCTCTCTTCACTGCCAAAAAAAAAAAAAAAAATAAAATTCCTTTTGCAGCATTTCCCCCTTCCCCCATTTCTTCTCAGCTGACAGCTGTGAGAGTGGAACTTTCTTCAGCTATCCTATCCATTGCCCCCAATTCTGTTTTTAAGCTAGATTTGGTTTAAATATCCAAGCCATCTTCCACACTACAGGATTTTTTTAACATAAAGTGGCTTTGTAAATGCTTAATGTGGGTAGAGACATGACAACTGTTTTCATATATATATATATATTTCTTTTTAAAATTACATTTCCCCCTCTTCCTCCAGCAATTGAGAAAGCTGATAGGGAACTACATTGAACAATACAGTCATTTTATAAGTCACAGGAAGGCCAAAGTTTCATAATAAAGCAACTTTTTTTCAAAACTGTCTCCTTATAACTGAAACTATCTATTCAGTTTTCAAACTGTTCACTTCTAACCAAACAGAAAATCTCATTAAGAAATATAGGGGTCATATTCAAAACCTGGAGAGTAAAGTGAAAATAGTGGAATTTAAGATACTTGTTGAACTTCCTGTTCTCAAGCATGCAAGGCCTGATACCTTTAGGTAGTTCTTCAGTTGGTTGTTCTGCACTTTGCTCAGACTGGGAGGTTTTCACTCCCTCTGACATAAACACCTACAGTACCTTTATGAGAACTTTACAGCTTTATGAGAAGGCAGTTTTCTGTCCTCATTGCCATCAGCCAGTGCACAAAGGAATGTAAGACAGGTACTTGTGCTTTAGTTGACTTTACAAGGCAGGACCCAAAGTATAAACATGTGCAGTTGCCTCTGCAGAACCCAAACACAATTTAATAATTAAAACATTCAGGGAAAAGGGGAAGGTTAGCTAGTCATTTTTCCATGGATTATCCCAGCTGCTTGTCCATGTGTTGGGAAATCTAGGTTTGATGCTGCTAAAATAGGATTGATGGTTCCATGACTTGTGAAATTTGTGAATTCACAAAATCACGTGATTTCTGGAAAATGTGTTCAGCATGCTTTGAATCTCCCTGTTCTGAACCCTTTTTTGAACCTGATATGCTATTAGAGTGGACCCACTGGAGCGTGGCACTAGAGATCCAAGGGATGGAAATCATGTGTGAACAGGTAGTGGTGAAAGTGGTGCTCATTTTCCTGTGACCTTACGGATAAACAGACCTGAATCAGCAGATAGCAAAGTTCTTCGTCCTTTATCTGTGCCATTGACTACAAGGAGATAACTTGACTTCAGACATTAGGGGTTTGCCCATTCAACATTAGTCTGTGACAAAATGGCATGAAAAAAAAAAGGAAGATTATTTTTTGGCTGGTGTATCGTAGTTCTTGCTATCACACTCCAAAATAGTCGTCTGTGTTTTGTGTTTAAGAATCAGTGGGTTCTGTGGAGGGTGTGCTGCAAGCACATCTAAATCGTTTTAAATCGAGAATGTTTTGGAAAACTTAGGTTTTTTTGGAAAACTTAAAGTTTTCCTTGTCCTCTCCCATACTCCTGCATGCACACCTTCAGCTTTCCTCATCCCTGGAACTCCAAGCCCTCTGCAGCAGGAAGCACATGGGAGCTCTGCGTTGTAGATTCACCCACAGTGCACAACTGTTTTGTAACTCCTCAATCAGAGAACATTTTGTTTTGCAGAGACATGATGGCTGGCACATGAACAACACCTAAAATGCCTGCTGCCAATTTGTTGTTTGTTACTTGGTTTATTAATTAAGTTACACAAAAGATTTGGAGAAAGGCCAACAGTTGTGTTTCTTTTTTTTTCTTTCTTTTTTTTTTTTTGGTCCCATATTTTGGACTGCCTGGCCAAAGCAGAACAATTGCTGGGGCAGAGATACAGAGGAGTCCTCAAAGGTTAGCTCTGTTCTGGGACTAAATTACACTAAATTACACCAAAGCCTTGCTCCTTCACTGCTGCCATGAACTTTAGTAGAGATATCCTGTTGGGCTATTAATTGACCTCCTAAGAACCTCTGTTTACATCAAAAATGATGAGCCACGTAGTTTTGAACCAGAAGAAAAAGCTCAAATATATTTGAAATTGAAATTTCAGCTTGGCTTACTGGATATTTTTCCATATTTCTCTCAACTCCACATTGCTTTTTCTTCATATATTTTTTTCTTTTTGGTAGATTTTTTTACCCTTAATTTACACAAATAAAAGATGGGATTTCATGTGGTTTCTTTTTAGCTTAATTATATACGTATTTGTATATATACATATATATCTATATATATATAAATCACTTTCCATTATGCTTTCTTGTTTCTATTTTTTCCAAAAGGAATGTGATAGCAAGATTCAGTTGGCATTCCAGATGCAATTGGCATGCCAGATTTCTAACTGCTACAAGATGGTGTGGTAACAGAGACACAAATTTATGTAGAAATGATGATTTTTGCCCCATATATCTGTTCCTACACAATTTTATTTTGCCAGAGGAAGAAACTCTTTTATAGGAATTTCAGTAGTGGATCAAACTAGGACCCAGCTTAATTCAGTAGCATGTCTGAAACCAGCTCTGATCAGCCTCCCCTGAGAAAAGCAGCCTTTGGGTCATGAAGTAATCTTCCTGTAGGAAAAGTTTCCTCTTAAAATCACTTTGTGGGCTGAAGTGTGAAATACTTTCCTCTAATTGTGGATGTTCCTGTTGCCCGTGTAAAGCTAAATTTCTCAAAGCCAGCGGAGTTCGGGCCTCAACAATACGTCGTGGTGAGCAATTCCACCTGGTCCTGAACTGAAGAGCAGAGCTGAGCGTGGTTCAGCCTTGCACATTTTGCTCTAAGGCACCTCATCTTTGTAAGGCAAACTAGACTTGGCCAGTCCTTCCTCACCATGAGAGGCCTTTGCATGGACAACTTTTTTTTATTACCGATTTCAATGGAAGTAAGCTCAGTATTCAGATTTAACAGAAATTCATGTGCTTGGAATTCCAAAAGTTGGTTGGATATTGAGGGCAATTTAAAAAAATTAAAACGTTCTGACATCAAGTCGTGGCGTGGAACCCAGTTCTTCTTTAATTTGCCCTCGAATCAATCAATTTACTCGGTTAAAAATGAGAAGAAACCCTGGTGCCTGCACTATGCTTAACCAAGGTCAGGCACTGCTGTTGGAGGTGGTTTTGGCATGGTATTTCTCTGAAATATTTCTTCTGTGCTCTTCAGAAATAACTTTGAGGAAACAGCGCTCTCTTCCACTTCACACGACGAGGACAATGAGAGTTTGTCCCATGCTGGCATTATATACAGTACGAAAATCCTCATCCATGCAATCCTTTCTAGAGCCATTCCTAATGCTGCTGACACATTTCCTTGAAGTTTTAAATGGGGTTTTAGTAACTTATTCTGATATGCAGCCCCCTGAAGGACCTCAGCTACACCAACCCAGTCCCACGAAAGAGGAGGCTCAGAGGGGACCTTATGACTCTTTACAATTCCAGGAAAGGAGGTCGTAGCCAGATGGGGCTCGGACTCTTCTCCCAGATAAAAGGTGACAAGACAGGAGGACATAGTCTTTAAGCTGCACCAGGGGAGGTTTAGGTTGGACATTAGGAGGAATTTCTTCACAGGAGGGGTGATTAGACATTGGAAAGGGCTGCCCAGGGAGGTGGTGGAGTCACCATCCCTGGAGGTGTCTGAGTGCTCAGTGCCATGGTCTATTTGACATGGTGGTGTTGGGTCACAGGTTGGACTGGGTGATTTCAGAGTTCTGTTCTAACCTAATTAATTCTGTGAAAACAACCCCCGAGCTGTGGGCCAGGGCCGGTTTGAGCCGCTGGTCGGGCAGCAGCGCCCGCCATCGCAGCGCGGCCTTGGGGGGCTTTTTTCCCCCTCCGCTGTGTGGTACGTTACTCTCTGGACGCCGAACCCCGCACGCTCATTTGTTTACTCATTTATTTATATCCATTTATTGACTTCGCTCCCTTTCACACCGCCCGGGCGCCCACTTCCCCACGGCCACCCCTCACTTTCCCCACACGGGGCCCGGGCCCGGCCCTTTTCCCGCTTCCTCCTCCCGCCGCCGCCGCGGCGCGCGCGCGGCCCCGCCCCGCGCGCACATCCGGGTCCCGGCGCTGGCCCCGCCGGCCCCGCCGCCGCCGCTCCCGGCCCCGCTCCCGGCCCGTCCCGTCCCGGCCCCGCGCACAAGTTCGGCCGCAGGAGCAGCGCCAGCGGCGGCCGCGGCCCAGCCCCTCACCGACACCGCGCCCGGGGAGGCCGCTGCTCCGCGCCCGGTGGGTCGGGGGCTTGAGGTGTGTGGGGGGGGGGTGCGGGCCGCGGGGTTCCGGAGCGGGGCGGGGGGAACGGGCCGGGCCTGTGGGGACGCGGGGCCGAGGCCTCGCCGCGGGGCCGCCGGGACAGGGTGGTGCGGGGGCGGGCAGGGGCAGCGAGGGGACGGTGAGCGGCGTGTGGGGGAAGGAGCAGCGCCGTGAGGGAGAGAGCGGAGCGCGGGGCCGCCCGCGGGGAGCGCGGACACGCGTGGGGACGGTGCGGGCACCGCGGGGCTTGTGCCTTAGTTTTTGCTGCTGGTTTTTTTTTGTTGTTTTTTTGTTATTATTATTATTTTATTTTATTTTATTTTTTTGAGACGAGAGCTAGCTCTTGGCTGAAGCCAGGCCTGGCCGAGCGAGAGGAGAGCAACAATCCCGCCCGGCTGGTAAAGGGGCGGGAGGCGATGTGAGGGCACACAAACACAGACTCCTCGCACTCACACACACGCACACTTGTCCACCGTGTCCCTCCTCGCCTGACAGATGCCTGACAACAGATGCGCAGCCTCCGTGATTTAGGACAGCGATTTTTATTTATATTATTTATTTTTTTTTTGTCTTCTGCGGGTTGTAAAACTTAATAGAGGAAATATGGTCTTGCGGTTAAAAGCACAAGACTGGAAATCAAGTGATCTGTGCCAGTTGTGGGGTTTCTCGTGTGACTTTAAGGTGATTGAATAGTATGTCACAGTAGATGAAGGGAAGAACTGATTTAGTAGTAGTGTGGAATATATTGTTGAATAGGTTCAGTAATAGTTGTTGAATCTTTTGGTGGAATCTGTAGGGATTTAGAGATTCTACTCAGTGAGTCACTGGGGCCCACTGCTTTAACAAAACCTCCAAGGAATAACTGTCAAAATTTGCATCAGCAAAATTTTGTCTGTCATGGGAAATTAGATTGTCAGTGTGTGATGGTTCTGCATGAAATCTCTTGCTGGTTTTCATTCCTGTATTAATTTCAGATAATTAACCTTCCATGGGTGGTTTTAAAATCCTGAAAACTGGAATGAGCATTGTTCTTACGTGTGTCAGTTATGGAAGTTCTGGACAGAATGTCCTCCTCCTGAGCAATCACAGAATTTGATTGAAGAGGAGTAAAGGAAAGGGTGCAAACAGTTGCAGTCATGTGCCTGTGCTCATCAAAAGCTGTAATGCTTTATGAAGTTGGCAGCTGGTGGTAGTGGAAGTTAATAGAAGCAGCAAATAACTTAATTGACGATGTTTCATAATTAGTGTGTTGTAACTTTTGAGAGTGCTCTGTCTGTGTTGGATTTAATGTCTTAATCCCTACCGTTTGATAGTGGTTTACTCCTACCTCTGATATTAAAATATTGTTCACTTGGCCTTGAAATTGCTGCTAAGGGCCTAATGCCACTTATATCTGCAAACCAAAACCCCAGCAAACCATGTGCTCACTGGGTTTGCCTTTGTCAAACCCTTCTTTTCCTTTCAGATGTGGAGGAAATACTTTTGAGGGAGGAATGTTCTTTTTTTTTTTTTTTTCCTAAAGAGAACTTTCCCAGTGGAAGCCCAGATGGACAGTGGTGATGGGGCTGAGAAACGGGAAAGGAGGAAGAGAGAAGCTTCCTCTGCATTTCTTTCTCTGGATGACAAAAGCTCCCAACGGCAGGGCAGGGCCTGCTGCTGTGTACAGCTGTGGTGGGTGGGGTTTTTATTTGGAGGTTTGGAGTTTTAACCTCTTATGGAACTTGAAGGAACTGTAACTGTGGACCCTCTGCTGTTTGGTACTTGTTATGAAGTCAGGTTTTTAGTCTTGCACCTAGAGTGGGTGGTCTGTGCAGAGTTCTGGTGATCACAGAATATTATTTGAGCTGGAAGAAGTTCTGTCTCCCAAGATGAAGTGCTTGTGCTCAGTTAAGCGACTTTTGGGGTTTATGTGAATGTTCTTTGCAAATTATGTTGTGGTCTTTATAATTTCAGAAGACACTTTTAATTCCAGAAAAATGTCATGTATATTTTCTTTTTAGTTGTCTTAAGAAAATGCTGAGAACTCTTTTGTTGTTGCTCTTGGCTGAATTACATACCTGCAGAAATACTGCTGTCCTATATCATCTTTTACTGCCAGTTAAGGCCTTGTTTTTCATTTTCTTTATGTTTGTTTGGGTTTTTTAATTAAAGGACAAGTTCTTGTAGTATCTCTGCTAGATTGACTGAAATGAATTTTAATCTGTTAATGTTTCTTTAAAGATCTTTATATGGTTTTTTGATATGAACAGGTAAGGAGCTCACGCCCAGAACGAAAAGATTTGTTCCCTTGTGAGCTGAGAGCACTTTAGATATCCCCATGGCTAATGATAAACAGCTCATTAAAACCAAGCTGAACAGTAATTTAAGACTTTTGCAGTTGCCTTTAGTCACAGTGCAAGTTCCTGCACAGTTTTCTGGAAGCCTTTTTAGCCCTGTTCCTGTGACCACGTCGAGAAGCTTGGCTGGCCCTGGAGCGTGGGTTGGCAGGGGCAGGACGGTGCCTGCCAAGGCTGTATCCCCACTGACCTACCACCAGGGCTGAGCCTGCCAGCACTGTCATCCCTGACAGAGGATCTTTGTCAGAGTCCCTGCTACTGATACAGCAGCTATGAAGTAGTGTCTCTGAATTCTGGGTCAGTGCATGTCACAAACTGACAAATTTAGAATACTTTGCCGTTCATTCATTCTGTGCACGGGGGGAAAAAAAACCTCGCTGAGTTACTATTGTCAGCGTTCCCTCCAATCCTGCAGCTTTTGTGAACTTGTCACAGGCTTGTTGCAATTCACTTGGAGTGGAATTGTACACACACACACACACACACACACACATCTTTATTTTTCTTCCTCTTTTAAAGCTTTATGAGAGTGTCCCTTCTTTCAGGTTATGCTTTTTGTTGCCAAGTTATAGTATGTAGGATCTTAGTCTTTAATGAGGGCCTTGCACACGAACATCAAGATTTATGGAAGGCTTTGTCCAGCTTATTAATTTTTTAGCATACTTTAGGGTTTGTGAAAAGTATAATTTTCCCATTTTTTTCCTCCAGCTGTAGTAGAGGTCGTTCTTAATCACCCACTTGCTTGTCCATGTGCACCAACCTCCCAGTGGAGGTGTAGGCTTTTGTTGCTGCGTTTGGTGAAAATTAGCAGTGCTCTTCTGTATAACTTTAATTAAGAAATGGATGATAACTTTTGGTTAAAGTAGGTCTTAAATAATCTTATAAACATGAGGCAGTTTCAGGGCTGACTGCTGTGGATGGTGGCATTTTCCAGCATAATGCTCCTGTTGGAAAGTGCCAGTTAGCTGAAACAGAAGTGTGAGAAAATGCACAGTTGTGACAAAACACTTAAGGGAGAGGGATTTTCGTTCAAAGACAGAATTTGTAGTTTTTGAGAACTTGTACAAAAGCTAATTGCTCAGTAATTAGAGCAGCTGCAGGGACCAGGGCCATGGGAGCGCTGGATCTTTGTGTTCTCAGCGGGGATGTTTGAAGAAATAGATACTAACTTTTTTTAGGCTTTGGAGGTTTTGGTGTTTTCTCCCTCCCCCTGTATCACAGTTAAACTCAAGTTTTGCCATGATGCAGAGCAAATTCAGAACTCTCTGTTCTTTGGATATAATTTTTCTGAGCTTTTCTTGGCATCAGATGGAAGTGAGGGTGCTTTGGAAATGCAGCGGAGCTTTATTTGTGAACTCTTTGACTGGACCTTGTCCTCTTTTGTGATATAAATCATTGTCACTGGGATTGTTTTTTTTAACAGTAATTTTTGAGAAGATGTTAAGAAAAACCAGAAACATCACTTTGCTATCTGAGCTACATGGCTTTTGTTTCCACTTCTTGCATGTATATTGTATCTCTTGCTGCTTTTGCTTGGCCTCAGAGTTTTGTTAGGTTTCTTGTAAGAGAGTGCTGGTTAAATACTTCTCAGCTGACAGAGCTAAATGCTTCAGGCTTTTGTTCTGTTATTTTTTTAAGCTGTGTTAGATGGTGGACAGATGTGGAAATGAAAAGAAAAAGTATTGTGTGAGAAAGGCCTGTCTGAAATTGTCATTATATTTTTCTGTTTGGAGGGCAGTCATGGTTAGTAAAAGTTTGGAAGATACCAGACAGTTCTTTTCTGTTCTTGTTTACATGTATTATTAGTTAGACCATATTGCCTTACAAGGCATGTTTGAAGCACAGAAATCTAGTGCTGGTATAAAAGCACTTACCATAGATTCTGGCCAACTGAATGTACATTTAGCTATGCAGGCCTAGTTCTGATGAAAATACCACAAGTTCCTTTTTGATATACTTTATAAAATCTCCTTTCATCTTTTACTTAGCCTTGAGGGGAGGAGGGAAATAAAAAAGCTGTATCATTGATGATATTCCTCATGGCTGAGATGTTGCAACTGAAGAAAACTCTTTTCTGTGGATTGGCTGGGGCATGTAGGCCCTTCAAGTTATTAACCAAGTTCTTTAACCAAAGTGTAATCTTAGGGTTTATTTTATCCTTGATGTGTTTGGAGAAACTGTGGAGTTAACTTTTCTTCTATATTTGTTCTCAAGAAAAGGCTCATTGCAGGGGACTGCAGTGTAAGAAACTGATAATAAAACCCAAGCACAGTCCTGCACAGTTCCTCTCAGGAAATCTGTAAGGAAAGAAGGATTTTTAATAAAACCAGGTGAAATTGATGTGTGAGGTTGTAGTTTTAAAGAAAGTATTTATAAGTGTATATGGCATAATGTGCTGTAACACACTGCAGTTGAGTTTCTGAGCTCTCTGGATGAATATGTAGTATGTAAATATGTGTATGGAGTCAAAGGACTTGAGCATTTCTGAGCTTGATGGGGCAATAAAGTTAAGCACAAGAGCTGAGTGCAGAACAGCTTTAGCTGCAGATCTGCAGCAGCTCTAATGAACTGCCAGTTGTGTTGCTGGTTATAAGTGGTGCTTTGTTTATGGGATGAAATCGAGTCTCAAAGCAGCTTCTAATCATCAGCAGCGAAGTTCCTTATTTCAGTTGGGTATGATGCTACAGGAGGCTTCCTGAATTTGCAAACAAGTCAATTAAGCAGGAAAAGAATAGAGCCTGTCGTTGTGCAGCACAAGCTGAGTCCTGGCAGTGGGAAGGGATGAGGACCATGCAGTTGTTACCCATTTATCCTTGGGGATAAACTGTGGGAGCATTGTTCATTGCCAGGCTGTTTGGGGTGATGGTTTGCTTGGTTAGTGGTACTTCAAATTTAAATTTTGCAGGTGGGAAATTAGTTTGGAATCAACGGCAGAACGTGTTACACAAAAAGTGCCTCTCATTAAAATAGTTACACCATATGTAATGTTACATTATTTGTTCTTGCTCTTTTAGCCAAAAGAAGATTCCTTGATACAGAATCAAATGAATCTATTAAACTTGCCAGTTTAATGGAGTTAGCTAAGAAAGTTTCACAAGAACCACCAAAAGGTAGTGGAGTTACTTAGTATTTGTGATGGCAGGCGAAAGGTGATATATTTGTCCTGTCTTCACAAATCAAATGCAACTTGTAAGTTCTGCTGTTGGCCAACTGTTTATATCTGGCTGGCTGAGGTATTAAGAAGGGGTTCAAACAATGGACTTGTTCACACAACTGGTTTCCTTCCATTTGCTGTAGTCATTAACAAGACCTTTCAATGTATAAATAATGCATGCCCCAAAGTCTCATTTTGATACAGTGATTACTTCCTTTTATACTTGCCCATTAAAAGCCCCCTCTTGCTACTCCGTGCAATTCATTACAGTCCCTCTTTAAAGAGTGTTTGTAACTATTTTTTTTAAAGTACCAGCATGTTTTTAGTTGATGTTCTCCCCTAGCTCAGCTGAAAAGTTATTTAATAAAAGAAGGTAATGCATAATGGGCCCTCTGCTTCTTAAGGAAATTTAAGAAAGCTTTTTTTTCCCCCCCTGAAAGTCGTTCCCAGCTGTGTGTAGAGGTGCAGCAATAGGAGTAATTTGTGCAGCACTGAATGAAAATGTGACTCTTTAAAGCATTTGTTTCTGTGCTCAGACCTTACAGTGATGCACTGTTGTGCTGCAATCACAGCTCATAACAGGGGCTTTTAAAGCCTCGGAAGAAATTGATTGTAAATATAGATATTCTGGGGAGGCTCTTCCTGGCAGATGGCAGGATTACTTAGAAACCTTTGGCAAATGAGATGCTGAAATTACAGCAAATGCAAGTAAATGTTCTAAATGTGGTTTGTGCCTCCCATTCAGAAATTTAAAAACCCTACATGAATTGCAGTTTCTACATCAAAATGTTAAGTTCCTACATAAATACCTGAACCTGCTGCTTTGTGGCCTTAAATAGCTCATGATTCATGAAGCTTTTTAATTCTACCTTGTTTTCTTAAGAAAAAGCAAAAGCTGGAAAGCTTCAGAATTTTTGCCTTCCAGAATGAACTTCTGAAAGGTGTGTAATGAGATAAATTCAGTGTCATTTGCGCTTCTCAAAGTATTTTGTTGCAGGGTTTCTTTTCTGCCCTTGCTTTTCATGAACAGGTAAAAATACTCTTCAGTAGAAGTCTTGAAAGCTCATGGGGGGGCAAAATAGAGTTACAGTAAATATTACAATATTTTAAACTTCAGCAGTCTAGTTCTTCAGTGGTTACAGCCCAAGTATGTGTGTAGAAACTTTTTTTTTGAAGAAGTTGAAACAGTTTTGATCAAATCTGTTATGATGCTTCTGGAACACTTTTTGCTTTCCTTGATAGGCCCTCAGACAAATGTAAAGCTTTTAGAGTTAATTATGTTACTTACTCCAAACAGATTGTTTGTAAAATCATAGTTTATAGGACAGAGTCATTTATCAAAATTCCCTTGACACTTGCCCTACAAATACTAGTTACTGCAAAACATCATTTTAGTAGAACTGTTCCAACTTCCTTTGCTTTGAGTTAGTTGTTTATTCCACGGACATACTTGTGGGTAAATGATGTTGAAATTATATGCAGCCACTAAAATTGCTTTCCTAGTTGATGCACTGCATTCAGAATACTACAAAGTAAAATATCCAGTTATAGATGATCATAGAACAGACTTGTAGGTCTGTAAACTTGATTGCTTGATATAGATGGGATAGATCAGGGTGGCAGCACCAAGAGGAGTTTCTTAAAATCTCCTTTGAGCTCAGCTTAACTATAGGAATTTCTAGTGCATCTTCTCCCTTGATGATGCTTTAGGTTCTTTGAAAGCATAGCTGAGAAACAAAAATAGAACTTTTGAATTGTCTTCTTTCTGCTCTGAGACTCCAGGTGGGTTCATTTCCTTTTTTAGGGCTGTGAGCAATTGCTGTTATCTTGAGATATTGAAGGTACAAGGCTTGAAAGTGAGTTGCAACTGTAAACAACTTTTACTTTTTAGAACAGTAAACTTTTATCCTCAGTAAAAGAACAAATTTAGTCTGAGTTCTTGGCCAAGTTTCTCTCTCTTTATGTATTTCCTGTTGCTTTGAAGGGTGCAAAGGTTCTTCTGTGTAGTAGTTCTGGGGAACTAAATTAGACTTTAAGTGCAGACACGTCTGTATTTCTGAAGAAATAAGGTGATACATAATTGATTGAGACTTTTTTCAGTTCCTTCCAGGGACTTACTGAAGCAGTGGGAGACTTCTATTTTCCTAATTTCTTTTTTTTTTCCAGTTTGTTTTTGCATGGGAAGCTTAGGAAGAAAGGTCTTCAAACAGTTGTTCTGTTTGTTTTGGTTTTCCCACTTTTTCTCCATCTTACTCAAACCAAGCTGAATAATCAAAGAGGTACCAATGGGATTAAGCTACAGTGTGAAATAAATGGATTTTTTCCTGTCAAGAGACACCAAGTGTCCTTAGGTTTGTTCCCTGCTTTCCTCACCTTCTAACTCCCAGAAGAAAAAATATCTGTGGTACATAAATGCCTTGCCTAGGGATGTTTGCTGTATCTTTGCTACTTAGTATATGTTTCTGTTATATAAAAGTATCTGTCCAGGTGTCTGAGCGAGCTTGTAAATGTGCCCAGACACTCGGAAAAGCCTTATCAGATGACTTTTAGTGAATCAAAGATGGGAGGAAGAAAGATCTTCTTGATTAAAGGTCGCAGCCTAAGAGAACCAGCACAGAGGTGCTTAAATCTTGCTTCCCACCACCACCCCCCCCCCCTTGTGTCTCATGTGCAGATTTGGTGTCTGGGCATGTGGTAGGTGCTCTAATTCCCGGTGGTTTATCAAAAGCTGAGAGACAATGTTGTTTGGCAGTCTCTGTAGCAGGAGAGGAAGCATCTTTTGTTATTGACATCCTTTCTCTTAGACCAGCTCTTGCTTTTTGCCAGCTGCTCATTGTCTGTACTTGCTTATTTAGTATTCACAAGGGATTTTACAAGTTCTTATCAGTTCGTTGCCACAGCACATCATTTCCTCTTGTCATCGGTAAATTGGTGGGGGGAGGATTTGCTCTGGAGCTGGGGAGTGGTAAAACACCATTCATGAGCTGCCCTGGGCTCTTCTGCTCCTCTCCTTTCTGACTTTGTAGTAAAGGTCACATTTCTAGTCCTTACTCTGTCATGCCTTCCCCCTCCCCTCTTTTTCTGGGGAAAAGAAAACAATGTTTTTTTTCTTTTGCCAAAGGCTAAAAATATCCTGCTCTTCAAATATTCTTCTTAAAAGATATAAGGAAGTGCAGCATAAAAATAGCTCCAGCAAAAAAAAAAAAGGGTTGACCACCTTTCTGAGTGGCTGGGGAAGGGTTGGTTGGAGCTTTTTATTGGGTTTTTCTTTTAGTTGTGTTTGGTTTTCTCTATCTACAGCTTCTTCCTAATTTTTTTAATACTCTTCAAAAACAAGACGTAACTAATTAGGGTTAAAGCAAGAAAAAGCAGATGCTGTAGGATTTTCTCCTTTTGGGAAATAAAGGTCCATCTGAGAATGCACTACTGGCCTTGGAACTGCTCCCTCTTCCCTGTCCCTTCATAGCAAGTTTAGTCTTTTAGTGAGGCAGCATGACAGGGATAGACTGTTAGTTTTAAAGCATATTCCTCAAGCTTGTCTTCTAAAGGAAAGTCATGGATTTAAGGAACAGTAACATGAACTATGCTGTCCCTATCATCCCTTGTTGGTCCTTTTCCCCACTAATCATTAATGTAAGAATTAGAGACTCTGATCTTTTTTTGGGGGGTGAGGTCCTAGTACTTCTGGGTTTTTGTTTTGAGACAAAATCAGGTACAATGCTGAAACAGAGAGTCTTTTACTATCTGCCTTTTTGTTTTACTTGTTTTCTAATCCCTTGTTAACTTATCTTTTTAACAGAACTAAATTAGGGGAATCAGCCACCATTTTTGATGTGAAGACTTCATCTCTGACATCTCTATGGTCATTTGGCAGCCTCCAAGAAATAACACAGCTCAGCAGTGGCAGTAACTGCCTTCGGTATACACTGACAATTATTTGGGAAAAACAAAGAAAACCCCAACAGCCCAAACTCACCAAACCTTCTGAAGACTTTGTGTCCAATGACGTCAATGGCCAGTTTGTTCTCCTTTACTAGCCCAGCTGTAAAGCGTCTGTTGGGCTGGAAACAAGGAGACGAAGAGGAAAAATGGGCAGAAAAAGCTGTTGACGCTTTGGTAAAAAAGCTGAAAAAGAAAAAGGGTGCTATGGAAGAGCTGGAGAAAGCCCTGAGCAGCCCAGGCCAGCCCAGCAAGTGTGTCACCATCCCCCGCTCCTTGGATGGGCGGCTCCAGGTGTCCCACAGGAAGGGCCTTCCCCACGTCATTTACTGCCGCGTCTGGCGCTGGCCTGATCTCCAGAGCCATCACGAGCTGAAGCCCTTGGATATTTGTGAATTTCCTTTTGGATCGAAACAGAAGGAAGTCTGCATCAATCCATACCACTACAAGAGGGTGGAGAGCCCAGGTACCTGGAAAATTACTGTCTTACAACTGCACAAAATCTTCTGTAACCGCTTACTGGTCGCTCCCTCCTCCAGTCCCGTGGAACTGATTGGAACTGGTGTGTGAGGGAGTTTGGGAGAGGAAGTTCAAAGGGTACATTGCTGGTGTGGTTTTGGGGAGGTGTGTTGTCCATTCTTTGGGATTAATCTCTTCAGCCTGCTACCCTTAAAGTTAGTAGCAAAGTCCTCATTTGTAGCAAAACAGAAAGCAGTGATAAAAAGACTTCAGTTTTGTTGACAAACTTCTTTAAAAATCTCAGTCCTTGCAAGAAAGTTGGTGATGTTATTTTACTATTTCATTCGTGAGTGACATGACTTGAGGAGATAAAAAAAAAGAAATAAAATTCTTGCATGGTAGAGTTCCCCACTTGAATTCCAATCAGCAGAGAGCAGAGATGAATAGAGCCAAGAGTGATCAGAGCAAGGTTTGTACCAAATTTGTGTCAGGTAACAAGCCTGCTGTTTAGGAATTCTGCCATGGGAGGAGGGAAGTAGGGTTAGGATTGCAAGTGGGAAACATGAAGGATGTTGCTGTGGACAGCAGAGTGAAAAGTTGCTTCTGTTGTTCCACAGAGTGGTTGTAACTCTACTGCAAACTGCAGTGCTCAGACTGCAGCACTGGAATTCCAGACTCCAGCAGCCCTGGGTTTAAAAGTTAAAACTCCAGCTTAGCAATACTTTTATATTGCAGTATAGATTTTGTTTGCCTTCAGTGAAAGGGGCAATATGTAACTATATAGTTTGGCTGTGGTAATACAGACTGTATTTCCATTTTCACTGGTTTACTCCTGCACACAGACAGTGAGTTTTGCACTTCTGCATCAGTACTTCAGTACGTGCCACATGGTTTGTTTTGTTGGTTTCTTGTTTTTAAAAAGAAAGATCATCTTCCAGTTGCATGAGATATATGTGTGGTTTTGTGATTTTTGCAAGAGTAAAGTTTGAGTCTTTCATGAAGCATAATTTAAAAAGTAAAGGAGAGAGGACAGGGTAAAGGCATGTCACATTAACCCCCTGCTCCTCTTTCCACCCCACTAGTGTTGAATTATCATGATGACCAGAACAGAACATCATTTGGATCTCCTTCTAGCTCAGTTTTTAATGTGAATTCACCTGGTTTTCCTCTGCGTTTTTTCCAGTTCTACCTCCAGTGTTAGTGCCTCGACATAGTGAATTCAACCCCCAGCACAGCCTCCTGGTTCAGTTCAGGAACCTCAGCCACAACGAGCCCCACATGCCACACAACGCCACGTTCCCTGACTCCTTCCAGCAGCCCAACAACACTCCATTCTCCATCTCCCCAAACAGCCCCTACCCCCCTTCTCCAGCCAGCAGCACTTACCCCAGCTCCCCAGCCAGCTCGGGGCCAGCCAGTCCCTTCCAGCTCCCAGGTAAGTCCAGCCTGAATGTCAGTTCAATAAAAAGAATTGAAATGTCCTGTGCTCTTGGGATTTATTACCTCAGGGCTTTGTGATATTTGCAATAAATTGCTTTTTCTGTTTGTATTTCAGGGAGTTTTCTTCTTAGTTTTGTCACTGGTCAGACTTAATTATTGTAGCTTTATTTTTCCAAATGTTTTTTTGTCGTGGATATAATAATGGTAAATTATTTTGCACAGCTTCAGTATAGAATAACTGATACATACTTTAAAAGAATGTCTAGCAATGAAATGAAAGCAGATATAAGAGGCAGAGCAAGAGGTTTATTGATGTCTTTCTCTGAATACAGTGGTGTTTAACTGGAAAAAAGTAGCAAATCTTTGTTAGAAACAGATGGGACTAAATTGATTCTCTTTAGCTGATTTGGGTGAAAAAAGGGGAAAACAATTAATAGGGGCAAAGGAAAGAAGTCTTACTGATTGTCTGGCTATTGGTGTGATTATAAAGCCAAGAAGTTAATTGATTAATGATTTTAATCATGAGGCTCAGTGGCCTCATCTTTGTTGTTTCTGATTGCTCAGTTCCCCCAAAAGAGTGTCCCAGTCAGGGGGATCTCTTGGCTGAGTACTGGGATCACTGGGATGGATGCATTAATGGGGCACAGTTGTGTGCTGCTGGAAGAACACAGAGATCCCCACTTTTATAATGACCTCAGCCTACAAAAGCAGAAAAAAAAACCCAAAACTGCTATAGGCCTTCTTTCTGCTACAGCAAATAAAGTTATTTCTTCTACCACTTTATTTTTGAACATGGAGAAAAGGGGAGGCAAGAAAACTAATGCTTGTGTGGCAAAAAGTGGGAACCACAGTCATCTTTCCCAGCTGCAGGAGTGCAGTTATTAAACTAAAAAAAAGGGGCAAAAAGAAAAAAGTACATTTTTTTTAAGGTATCCAATCTTGTTGTTAGTGCCATACGTAAAACTTCAGCTACTGAACGAGTTTACTGTAAAGACAGCTGGCTGTTTTCAGATCACTTTGAAAATGGGTCCAAATTTTTTAACATCTCTTGTTCAAGAGGGTTTGGGGGTTTTTTTGTATGTTTACAACAGTACAATGAATAAATATTCTAAATTGTTGAGGTTTACTCTTATTTTTTCCACCTCTGTAGCTGATACTCCACCTCCTGCCTATATGCCCCCTGATGATCAAATGGGGCAGGATAATTCCCAGTCTATGGACACAAGCAATACAATGATCCCTCAAATCATGCCAAATATATCCACCAGAGGTGAGTTGTGGGGTCTGGGGTAAAATTACATAGTTTGGCTTCTTGCAGCTCACGACCAAACTGAATGAATAACTTCAAATGGGCCAGTAAACCTCGCTGGTAAGTCATTCAAGGCAAACTGGGGCTGTAGCAGAGAAAACTGAGAAATAAAACTTGCCTGGCTTATTTTCATCTCTTGTTTTCAAAGCCTGAGGGCTTCCAACGAGTTGAACTCTTTTTCGTTTCTTTTCTGCCACCTTTGACTGTTGCTGGAATTATATGTGAAATAAGGCTCTGAAAATTTGGGTCCCAAAATAGCCATTATAACAGATTTTTTTAAAAGTGGGCAGGAGAATCATGTTTCACCTGTTATCCCAGTGTTTTTGTGTGCGTGTAGGGGGGTTGTTTAGTTTAATATCAGACTTAAAATTGGAAAATAATTGTAAAATCAGCAGACTAGCTAAAATGCATGAAGATAAAAATCATGAAGATGTTAAACAGGATAGTCCTTGCCCATCCTAAGTGTCAGCTAAGCTTTTACTTATCTGGTGATGTTTTGGGAGGTAAAATGTTCTTTCTGTTTGCTTCTTTTCAGATGTCCAACCCGTTGCCTATGAAGAACCCAAACACTGGTGTTCCATCGTGTATTATGAGTTAAATAATCGTGTTGGGGAGGCCTTTCATGCATCTTCCACAAGTGTCTTGGTAGATGGGTTTACAGATCCCTCCAACAACAAGAACAGGTTCTGCTTAGGGCTGCTCTCGAATGTAAATCGCAACTCGACCATCGAGAACACTCGGCGGCACATTGGCAAAGGTAAAGCTGGGCTTAGGAAACCAAGGCCTTGGCTTTGTTTCACCCTCTCTGCACTGCAGCAGGGGTTGTTCTCAGATGAGAATACCAGAGGTGATCTGAGCTCTGATACATTATTTACCTCTGCAGAATCAGAAGACAACTTCTTTGGGCATGGTTTAATTCTAATTAGTCAGGAATTGCAGACATTTTTCTTTGGCGCTAATTTAAAAGACTAAGTTTTACCTCTTCCTTGCCAAACAAGATTATCATTTACCCTAACAAACAAGCCCCCATGACAATGTACCTAGAGCTCTTGTGTTTCAGCACCAAGAAACCTTGCAGGACTCCTGCTATTCTGCATTCTCTCTCCTCCTTAAATCATATTCTTCATCCCACTGTACAGTATATCAAAGATTGTTTTATTTTGTTGTTGCAAGGCATTACCTGCTGTCTGTGTTCAAATATCTTGGTGAGTTGGCAGCAGGACTTTGAAGTGCTAATGCAAAACTGCAAGGGCTCATTTGTCTGAGTGAATCCATGGGGTGTGTTTGTGTGTGGGAGGGATTCCTGGAGACAGCAGGTTTTGCAAGATCTTCTAGTTTTCCTGTGCTGTTTGGCTGATAGCACATAGAGATGCACAGTTTTCATCTGTGATGGAATGTGCTTGGATTATCTTAAATTGCAGTGCTCCTTTTCTTAATATCTTCTCTTTTGTGACCAAGTCAGTCCTGAGAAGAGAACCCTGTTTCTATTGTGCCTGAGATCATTTGGTAAAGTTGGTCTTGAGTTTTGCTTGATGAAAATTCATCCTGTCCCTTAACAGTCTTTTTAAATTAGAAACTTCTATAAATATGGCAAAATTTTGCAGATAATTTGGAGACCACAAGTTCTATTGATGTGTGTTGGAAACTTGGCTCTGCAATGCAGTTATCCAAGACAATTTATAAATAAAACAATGTTATAAAGGAGAACAACTGATTCCTGAGGTGTGAGTGGTTTGTCAGGTTCTTTTGTTTGGGCTCCCCCCTCTCAGTGGTACTGGCAGAGGAATCCTGTGCATCTTCCCAAGGTCAGGAATGTAACCAGGATCCATCAGCATGTTGTAGGGTGGTATTGGCTGCAATGAGCTTTGAAATGTCTACATCTCTAATAGAAATTATGGAACTTCAACTTTGCTTTGTGGTAATTGTTCTGACAACAGTTAAGACTGTTTAGGGATAAAATACCATGTTTGATTTTTAAGGTCTGTAAAGCCTGATGGTAATTAAGTCGAGCAACTAATTGGACTTGCCTCTCCTTTGGCTTGATAAGATGCTGTGAAAATCAGAGCATGGATGTACTTCCTCATTCATGTCTGACCCTTCTCCCAGGACACACTTATTTCTGTTGGAATTGCCATAGGCAGAAGCTACCAGTTGTATAAAACTGGAGTTTTAAAAGGCACATAAATTCTCTAGAAAAAACAACTTGAAATAGCAGTTGAAAGAAATGTGGCAGTAGGTTTTTCATTCTATTTTGTAACTAGTCAGAGAAGGACATCTAGTGGCTGGTGTATCATGAGCCTACTGTATTTTGAAATGGGAAAGTAAGTTATAGTGTGAGCAAAAGAGCTTTTCTGAAAAGCTCAGGCAGAAAGTTTACTTTAAAAAAAATAGGATTTACTACAACCACCTCAAAATCAGAGACAACGAACTAATTTGCCATGTTTTTATCATTGTTTTCAAGGAGTTCATCTCTACTATGTTGGTGGAGAAGTCTATGCTGAGTGTTTGAGTGATAGCAGCATATTTGTACAGAGCAGGAACTGCAACTACCACCATGGCTTTCATCCAACAACTGTGTGCAAGATTCCCAGTGGATGCAGTCTGAAAATATTTAACAATCAGGAGTTTGCTCAGCTTTTAGCTCAGTCTGTCAACCATGGATTTGAAGCAGTATATGAGCTCACCAAAATGTGCACCATTCGAATGAGTTTTGTAAAGGTAAGTTATTTTGAGGGCAATTTAAGTTAATTGTGGGTTTGGGTATTTAGGAGTAATTCCATCAGCACTGTAGCAAAGCTGTCCTGACCTGATGTGGGTCTTTTCAATGATCAGTGTATTGAAAGTGCTTAATTTGGGGAGAGGGAAATCAGTGCAAGAAAGGAAAAGCACAGATTGCTGTATTGAATGTTGGCTAGGTATTTAATTACTTCAGTATCCAGGACAGGGATTTAATCATTGTGGTTGCTGTAATTTTATTAAAGGAGATTTGAGCTCGTGCTCTAAATTTGAAGGAACAAAGTGAATAACAGGTCCATTAAAAGACCGTGAGTAGAAAGGAGTAGAATTGATTGCAGAAAATATTCAACTCCTTCCAATTGATTAATATTATTTTAAAAAAACGATTATGGAAAAAAGGCTTGATTTGAGTTTATGATGTCAAGCTGTGCTATTGTCTCACAGGAGTTTTCTCAGCATTGTTTAATGAAGATATTGTCATACTGTCCCTCTCGGATTTACTGTGGAGTTCTAGGGGTTTTTTTGCATCTTGTCCAAAAGATGTCATGTTGATTTTGTCAATTAGGATAAATACTGCTCAGTTTGAGAGTGTGGAGGATAAGGGAGCAGGAGGTTGAAGCAGAAGAGAGATGTGGCCATGCCAGGAGCCCTCCTGGAGTGGGCAGAGAGCTCCCCAGGAGCCCGTGTGGTCACTCCAGCTCTGCAGCGGGCAGTTCAGGCTCCCAGCTGCCCTTCCCTCCTGCTCCTGCCCAGCCTCAGGTTTTTTCCTTTAGATAAGAAGTGTTCCTAAATTGTGAATTACCTTCAGATAAGTATCTTAGGTCCTGATTCCCTGCTTGTTGTTAGTGTTATTTTAGAAGAGAGCCGTGTCCTGCAGTTGCTGGCTAACCCTGTGTTCCCCCTGCAGGGCTGGGGAGCCGAGTACCATCGACAGGACGTCACGAGCACCCCGTGCTGGATAGAGATCCACCTCCACGGGCCCCTCCAGTGGCTGGATAAAGTACTTACCCAAATGGGTTCTCCTCTGAATCCCATCTCATCTGTCTCATAGTGCTGACATTCTATCTCCAGCCTTATTTTTAGCGAACTTATTCTAATTCTAGAGCAACTTCCAGTGGATACTGTGAGCTATATGGAGAATGGATCTTATGGTTTAATTGTGTTGGTTTTTTTTTTTAAATCCCTCTGTGACCAATTCCATTGTGTATAGCTAATCAGTTTTACATTTCAAATTGTTCTTGTGATGCTTAAGTGACAGTTGAGCCCTAAGGGAAAAAATAGTCTATTGAGAAATTCAGAACACTTTTTCCCCTCCTTCCCCTAGAACTTAAACAGACATATGTCTTAACTGGAAAATCTTTTTGTCCTGTAGGGACAAGAATCATGGAGACTGACTTCAGAAAATAAATACATATCATAGTTTGGGATTTTTTTTTAATGTTTATGAAACTGTTTGAACATGTGCAGCTCCAGCTTGCAAGCTGTATTTTTAGCATAGTGGTTTAAACATCTTAAGGTTGACATCTGTCATAAGCAAAATTAGACTTTATTATGGCTAATTTGCCTCAGATTGAACAATGTGATTTTTTTTTTTAAGTGTACACATGAATATACTTTTTACAAATATTGGAGTGGTGTAAAAACACTTGTATTTTCTATTGGAAAATGCTGTCATAAACACACTGTATATTAATGCAGAATAGCAGTTCTTAGCCTTTTCCCACTTTGGTTTTGTAACATCTCTTTTAACCACCATTTAAAATAGTAATTGATACAAGGTAAACATCTTGCACGTTTCTGGAGTAGTAATTCTTGGTTTGCTTTGATTTACACTCATGCAGTTTGGATTTGGTTGCCAAGGCTGTCTCTTTTTAGGTACCCTTCTCTTTTTTAACATAAACACTACTATTTGTAAATGGCAGTGCTTACTACTTTTTGGAAGGAATAAGTTTTTTGTTTTCTTTTTGGTGTTCTAGCTGTTTATTTTACCTGTCTGGAATTGATCTGTGTAGGCCTTTTTAATCTCTCAGTAGACATTACACAGTATTAGTGATTACACTGTATTTAATTCACTTTCAGTATGAGTTTGAGTCTCTTTGAAGACTGTGAGTGGCTTAGCAAATGAGTTACTGAATGCAGAAGCTTTTACTTCCAGATAATTTAATGCAGACCTGTTGGTAATGACCAAAAGTAATCCCTTCTTTGTAGCCTGCATGAAAGGATGGTCTCACTCCTGGCCCTCATGGCAGGGGTTCAATCAGAAGACTTGTAACTGTAGTTGGCAGCTTTGTGGGACTGAAGCACTGCATTAATATGATGATGAAATTCCTCCCATGTAAGGAATCACAGAATCATGGAATGCTCAGGGGTTGGAATGGCCCTCAAAGATCATCTAGTGCCAAGCCCAGGGACATCTCCCTCTAGAACAGGTCACTCAAGGCCTTACCCAGCCTACCTTGAACACAACTGGGGTTGGAGCAGCCACAGCCTCCCTGGGCAACCTGTGCCAGTGCCTTGCCACCCTCACAGGAAAAAATTTCTTCCTGATATCTGAGCTAAATTTTCCCTCTTCCAGTTTGTACCCATTACTGCCTGTCCTGTCACTGCAGTTCCTGACAACGAGTCCCTCTCTGGTTCCCTGGAGGCCCCTTCAGACACTGGGAGGTGCTGTGAGGTCCCCACACAACCTTCTCCTCTGCAGGCTGAACAGCCCCAGCTTTCTCAGCTGTCTTCACAGGGGAGGTGCTCCAGTCCTCAAGTCCTTCTCCCAGGGCTACTCCAAATCCCTTCTGCACTCGAGCTGTAGGTGTGTCTGGGATTGCCCTGACCTGGGTGTAAGATCTCGGTGAACTTCAGGAAGTTTGCATCAGTGAGCTTTGGTGGAGAATTCAAACACTGTACTAAACACTAAAAGAAATCAGCTAAATAACTTATGCCTGTTTTCCCCCTTTTTATGATAAAAAAGGAGGCTGAAATACTCTAAGAGAATTAGAAGTGAATTATATACAAAATATCTTTGCATGCAGAAAAAACCTCTTGTATTTTTTAACTTCTCACCTTCCTTTTTCTCTTTCCTGAATATCTCTTCAGCAAAGGGTTCAGTGTTTGGAGGAGAGGCTGAAAACTCTAATATGCAAATAATTATGGAAAGATGTGTTGCAGTTAATTACTGCAATCCTGAGACATTGATTGCTTACACAAGTTCTTGTGTCTTCTATTGAATGACATTTTCTGCTCAGATGTGGAAATCATGCATCGTATGGTACCTGCGTAACAAAATGATCTTAAAGGATTCAAATTGTTTACGTGTCCTTAAAATGTTTCTTCTGAAATGCCTTAAAGGAATAAACTGTAACACTTCTGCAGAACCCTAATGTTCTCCTGTACAGGAATTTCTGTATTACTTGGTGTTTTGGGGGGGGTTTTTTGTGTTTTGGGTTTTTTTTAAACAGTTTCTCAAGTGTGTTTGAAAACCAACAAGTGCATCTTCAGGAAAAGGGGAGGAACATTATTTGCTGTTTACCTTTGGGGTCTTCTCTTTCATTCTTTGGAGCTGCAACCCACAGACAGTTCTTTTGATTGAATAAGATGCCAAGTCAGTTGGCCACAGAATCCAGCTTGTTTTCTTCTCCTCGGGGCCTGACTTTTGTCAAGTAGCTGAATATGTATATTTGACACTACAGAGTATTATTTTTCTTGACTAGCTTTTGTAATAAATGCCATGGCACGTTGAATTAAGGAAAGATTGCAATTGTAGGTACAAGATTTTACTTTATCCAAGATGTTTTTCACCTGGCTTCATCTCTGTTCACATGTGTGCTTTTATGTGGCCAACTGAGTGACTCAAGAATGGGTGCTGAGGTGGGTGTTTGTGAGCCAGAGCTGGTGCTTAGTGCTGGTGTTGTGGTTTGATTGGCTGCCCGTGCACTGAACCATAATTTCTGCAATAATATCCAGTTAACCCACTTCTGATGCTGTCATTAAGTGCTAAAGTGCTCTGGCATTTTTTCTGCTTGTGTCCATGTTCTGGAACTGCAATATCTGCAATGCTGGGATAGCCTCGTGGCTGCTGGTTTGGCAGGGCAGGAGCAGGGGCAAACCCAGGAAGATTTGTCTGCCTTCTGCTTCTCTGTTCCTTTTAAGCAGAGCTTTTTGGGTGCTTTCTAGTGAGCAAATTTTGTGTGCAGCTGGTTCATGGTGTTCCTAATCCTGTTTAGTTCATCTGTGCTGCTGATACAAAATGAGATATCGGTGCACAGATGGATTGGATGGAGAGTTTTTTGACCCCAACGATATGTCAAGTCCAGGGAGAGCAGGGAGTGCTGCTGCTGGGGCAGCATCCTGTCTATAAATCACTTCTGTACCCAGATGGAGGGATGGAGAAATTAAATCAACCAGTAGTGTGGTAGTGGAAGAAGGAGCCTTTCCAGTGTAGCCCAGCTTGGATTGGGTGTTACCCTTCAGTGAAAACTGATTTGGCTTTTTTAGTGTATTTTCTTCTTTTTGGGCATCTCCTTTGCACCAACCACAGCATTGACTGGCAGCTTTGGCAACACCAGCAGAGCCTGGAGCAGGCTGACACCCATCCTTGCTGGGATTGCTCTTGCAGTCCCTGGGATAAGAGCTTGGATCTTGCTCCTTGGGCACCTCAGTGCTGGCAGTCAATCAGTGCCTTGTGTTTTACACCCATTTAACTGCATCAGGCTGGAAGGGCTGACAGTGGCTTAGAGTATCTGTAGGACCAAACCACAATTTTCTAGTGTGCCTGATGAGAGACAAATTAACAGCCCAGTAGGCAAAACAATGATTCAACTTGTGTTACAATTTGGGGTAGAATTGTTTAAATTATTGGAATTCTTCTAGTTTTTGCTTGAAGCAAAATGATGATTTTTTTTTTCCCCCCACAGTATTAAAATGTGAAAGTTGTCAGTTCTTGGGTGTGAGATTAACTTGGATCCTTGCACTATAACTCTAGAGGACATTCAAATGTGTCAGGCTTCCTCCCTAGTCTGAAATAATAATTTTTTCAGGATATTGTTTTACTTGCTCAAATTGCTAATGATGGTTTCTAGAAAAACAAACAAACAAAAACCCCAAAACCAAAACGTTTTCTAAATGTTTTGCTTCAAACAGCAGAGGTGACTAACTTTTTTTTCTGTAGTTGTGAAGTTTCTGCTTAGGAAGGTTTCCCCATTCTGAATTCAAATCAATAGACCAAACCATCAGATTTACAACAATATGTTGCTTTTTTGTGCTGCTCCATAAACCTGCTTCTGTGTTCGTTGCAAGCATAACCTTTATGCTTTTGTTTACATTGTAGGAAACACAGTTCTAGCAATGAGGTTTGTTGTTTTGTTGTTGTTTTTTTTTTCATTTAACTCTAAACATCTTTTTATTTTGTTAATTTTAAAATGATTAGGTTTTGCTATGTTATGTTTTTAAAGATATTTTTTGCATACTGCTGCTCATATTTCAATAAACGAAACAGAAAACCCACAGATTTTATTGGTCTTATTTATCTGTAACTCTGTATGTCTCAAGTGTTTTCCAAGGGTTAATTTATCACTTGTAACTCCTGCTGCTGATGCCTCTTCGTGTACATAGAACTCCTTATACTGTGATATTTTAAAATACTTTTCTGGAGCTTTTTGGTAATGCGAAAGCTGCTTGGAAGCAGAGACTAAATTATTTCATTACCTTATTTAAGAGCTGTTCTTGTAGAATGCAGCCAGCCCAAATGGTGTCAATTTCTTGGGATTTATAAAAACTTTTTTGGGAGTACAAAAAAATGTTTATCTGTAAGACTTCAGCAACAATTTGATAAATATGTTGGGGGTGGTTGGGGTTTTTTTTAACCATAACATTTTTTTTAACAACTCATCATTTCTGGATGTGTCAAGCTTTGAACTGCTGAGCAACAGCCTTTCATTGAAATGAAACTCAATCTCATGAAACTCAAGGACTTATAACAATAAAGTATAAATTTAGGAGCAGTTCAGTGAGCCGTGTATTGGCTTATTTTTTAAGATTGAGGGGAAGAAAACTTTTCCCTTGTTTGTCAGGATACTGCAGAAACAGAGGTTGAAAAGTGATTAGGGGTTTGCATTTATTAAATCTCTTTGTTTTGGCAGGATGAGTACAAAACCACTGAATCCCAATTCCACAGTGACAGATGGTTTGTTTAGTATAAAACTGAAATGAAAGTGTTGGTACAACTTCAGCTGGTCTGGGCTTCCTGCTTTGGGATTTAATTTGCCCACCTGCAGTAATACTCTCAAATTCTTTCATATTCTCAATAATGAGCTTTTTTCCTCTGAACATGAGGATCCAATCACTCAGGTAATAATTTATTTTCTTAATTTCTCTCTTGATGCTGTTTTGTATCAGTATCCCCTGTACTGTTTTGATGAATTTGCTTCCAAAACAATGATTGCCATGTAAAGTCCCCAGATTTCCTGGGACAGTATAACCTGAATAACAGACTAATTTGTGAGCAAGATCTGAAAATAAGTCTTGCAGTGGCTTGTTGGCTTTCCAGCAGCTCTATATGGACTTTAATCAATAGCTTTCTATACAAGTAAAAAGCAAGGAAACAAAAACCCTTGGTTATTAAAAGTTTTAAGTCGCTGTTTTATAGAAATGAAGAGGTTTTTGCTAATCTTGCTGGGGAATGTAGAGGTTTAGTAGCAACTCTGTGAGCAGCAAAAGTAACCTCTGAAATTCTTCATTCATGGGTTTTTTTTCAGAGGAAAAAAAAAGCTTTTGGGTGAAACAGCCCTTTTCCACCCCCTCTCTGACCTACACTGTTAAATGAGGCAGAGGCTACTTCTGCTCATAAAAAAAGCAGATATCCCCCTGGCATTTAAAGTAATTGAACATTGGATGTTCTGTACCCTGTGCCAAGAGTCATCTTCCTTTCTTGTCCTGGAGTGCTTCCTTCTCTGATTTCCCAGGAGATCCTACTCCTCTGGGAAAACAGCTTCACAGAGATTAGGAAAATTTGGGAAATTCCTTTTACTACAGATGCTCTGGTCAGAGGCCGCTGGTGATGGGAGGGTGAAGTCAGTGCTCTAAGTCAGCCTTTTTCCAAAGGCCTCTCCCAAACTATGCACTTGGTGTGGAAATCCTGGTTCCATTTAACATGCCAAATCCAGCCTTTTGGCCTGGGTGATTTTAGGGCTTGTGTTTCAGACACTGCCAGCATTAAAAAAACCATTGGACTGCACTCAGTGATGGTGCTGGCTCTGCTTTCCCTCGGAATCCGAAATCTCTGGGCTTCCCCTTGTGCTGTGGGAACAGCAGAAGTCAAACCAGACTCTGTGCCAGCCATTTGTCATGGGTAGGCTGAAACAGGCAGTCTGGCTTTTTCTTTGTCCCCTAGTTCTATATTTAGCAGGATTTTCCTCTAAAAACAGCCTGAGAGGTCTCCAAAGTCCATCCACATTGTCAAAGGACTAGATCACAAAATACTGAATAAGAGGCCTCCAGCTGATGGAATTCCAGTGGTACATTCCCATGAAAAGAGGAAGGAAACCTTAATAAAAGACAGTCAAACCTGTGCAATACCCATGACAGGTGCTTCAGGGTTTTACAATTTCCAAGTGGTTTCATCAGGTCCTTTTTGAATATCCTGTTGTTCTTACCTGCCTTATGGGGCCACAGGTTCAAGTATTTCTCTAAGCAACATTCTGCACCTCTGGTTGAGTCCAAATCCAAGGGAAGCTCTGGTTTGGGATTCTCTTAATCCTCCTGTTCTCTAATCCTGAAGGTAAGTCTGCAGTTCCATCAGCTGGTAAAAGTGGTTGTAGGGCAGGGGGGCGGTGCATTAAAAACAAACACTGCAGCCACTGGCAGCACAGAACGTTGGAGTTCCAAAAATCCCACCCAGTCTAAAAGTTTCATTCCAAACATCTGGAGGTGGGAAATCTATCCCAGCAGAGAGGCCTTGCCAGGTAAGATAAATATATGTATTTTTCAGTGCTACCCCAAGTTTGTGCTGGAGTGATCATCACCTGCTTTCCTAAGGATGGCAAGGAGCCACATCCCGGCAGTGTCCCGAGTGGGACGGTCACACCTGATCCAGGACAAGCAGTTGCTCTCGGCCAATCCCACAGTGAGTGGTTCTGGGGGGACATCTCTGTTAAAAATACTGAAAGTCGTCACTTTAGTGTGAGAAACGAAGACACAAATCTATAGAAAATCATATAAACAGCGTATTAAATTCTCTTTTATCCAGAATTTTGATTGCTAGCCACAGTGTTTTCCTTAAATGTACATGGCTGGGAAGGGTGGGTCATCTCCATTCTGTGTTCCTGCTCCTTGCAGGGCTCCTCCTTTTTCCCATAAGACATAGAAAAAAAACCCCCAAACTCTTTAAATTAGCAGCTCTTTTGTCCCAAGGCCAGTTTTATTTTGTTCTCTATAAACACCTTTTATCCCCATTCTCTTTTTGAGAAATAACCGTGACAGAAGCGATTTCCAGGACTAAATAACAAGTGCTTTGTAATTCAGCCACTCCTGCAAAGTCTCATTTTCTGAAGGGTTTTAGGTGGAGAATCTGCTGTCAGCAAACTCCTGAGCCTCTCCAGACAGCTTCGAGCTGTGTGGGTGACTTCAACTTCAGACACAAAATAGACAAAATGGGCTCTTTTCTGTACAAGCCAAATGGAGACCAGTTTTTCTGAGATTTGAGGTGTCTGGTGGACAGTCTCACTCACAGATTTTTATAGAAAAAATTCTCCTTAAGTTTCCTATAAGAAATTAGAGGTAAATACAGTATATTAAACATGAGAGTGCAAGCTTAGGAGTGAACAGGTTGTGTCCATGAAGATAATTCACCAGTGGTACTTTATGCACTGCCTGGGCAGGGGCTCAGCCCTGCAGGGAGGAATTTGGTGCTACCTGGAGGGCAAAAATGAGGGAAAGAGGAAGAAAACAACTTGCAAAGATGTGACTGTAATTTGCTGTGTGGGAGACTTTATGGATTAACGTATTGAAACCAAACCTCTCTGCTTGTACCTGTAGTTTCTGGAAGAAACAACCTCTTAAAGACAAATGTGCTGTGAACACAAACCAGATCTCTCTTCCTTTCCTCTTCTCAGTCTGATCTATCTGCCAGCATTTAAAATGTTTCAAATATCAGGTAGATAAAGCTCCTGGCTCCCTAAAGGTGTAGGAGAACAGGCCCATGGGCAGAGCATGGAGGGCACTGTGCCTTGGCACAGCAGAACTGAGCCCCTTGCCCAGCACATCCACTGGGATCAGGTCTGGCCATGCTATGCTGATGTGGAATATTTAGCTTTTAGGATTTATTCTTTTGCCTTACTGTGCAGTTTGACTGACTTGTGAGTCCTCCAGGTGAGTCCTTTCCAGGCATCATGTGATGATCCTGTGGTGTGGGGTGTAAAAAAACCCCCTCAGCTCTTGGTTTTTGTTTGGGGGAAAGGGAAGTGCAGGAGGAAAAATGCCAATAGAGAAGCCCAGCTAGAATAGGAAATGTGAGAAGATGGGTCTTGCTGGGTCCCCAAAGTGTTAACAAACCTAGTATTCAGGCAGAGCAATGGGATGAGTGAGCTCCTGGTTATGGGATTCTCTCTCAGAGGAGCATTGTGCTGGTGGCTTCTCCTTGGTTACTCAGTGCCAGTGCTGCACTGGATGGATCCAAAACCATCCATGGACTAAGAGATTAGAGCCAACAGAATGAAATATAAGGATATTAATAATCCATTGGCATGGTGGCATCAGATGCAAAAGATCTTAGTGCTTCCAGGTGGAAGTGATGGGTTGTTTCCCTGGCCAGGAGGAGAGTTAGGACCTTATTTACCAGGCAGGTCTTGACTCAGCAGAGCACTGGGTATTTTAAGTGTGCTGATGCTCCTCAAAGTGTTACAGGAGCTGCTCAGCTTTTGAAAGCAAAGCAAGTCATCAAGAGTTTCTCTGAACTGGGGCCAGCCTGCCCTGTGTCCCAAATTTCTGCTGCTTTACTCATCCCTCCTGTTTCGGTGTGTTACCCACCTCTGGGCTGCCCTGAGGAGAAGCCACCAGGAGGAGGGAGGGCTGTGAACGTGGAGAGGCTCTTTGGGAAGGCACTTGGAGAAAGTGGGATTTGCTAAAAGACCCTGGGAATGGTGTGGTTGTGTCAGGAGCAGGGTGTGACTGGCAGAAGGGATGGAGAATCCACGTGGGACCCCGTGGGTGTCCTGCACTTCATGAACCAGCCCCAGCAAGGGAAGGAATCCCTCTGGGTTCCTCTGGTGTGCTGGGGGTTGGAAATGGGGGGTTATTTTTGGTCAGCTTGAATTCTGAGCCTGGTGAAGCAGAATTTGTCACGTGTTTTCTATATGTGTGTTTCCCACATTGGTTAAAAGTTGTGGCTGCCCCATCCCTGGGAGTGTTCAAGGCCAGGTTGGAGCAACCTGGTGTAGTGGAAGGTGGGGTGAGATGGTCTCTAAGGTCCCTTCCAACCCAAACCATTCTGGGATTCTCTGATTCTGAATGTCATTAATAGAATTTCTTCTACAATAGAAATAATTCTGGATATTGATGAGAGCAGCACAGAGAGCATAAAAGCTTTCCCAGAAAACCAGCTAACACTCTCAGTACGACAGGTTCTTCTGGAGTATTGCTCCAGTCAGACTGTGGAGAAAAATGGGATTATTCCAGAGTTATTTTTGAACATTTAAATAAAGGGTGCAACACAACATGTGCTCTGTCAGGTTCTGAGGCTTTTGCCAGCAGAAATTCTTAGCCCTACCTCGTTTATGGCTGAGAGCTGAAAACAAGCTGTTGTTGCTTAAAAATAAATAAGAAATGCCTGATTTGATAAAACTTGATTTATTCAAAAAGGGCTGAGAGAAACACACTTGAATTTATTCTTGCTTTCTACATTAGAGCAACTGCCCGGAATTACACCAGTTAAATTTGATTCAGAGGAAATATTGGCCACCTGTAAAGGAATAAAATATTAAAACCTGTTATTTAGTAGTTTAACTTGAGCAAAATAAACCATGGTAACCAAGACAATGACATGGAACTCTTATTAACTGTGCAATTTCTGTGTAAAAAAAAAAGCTTGCAGACTCCTGTATATACACATTTTGTCTCTGTGCTTGAGTGCAGGCCTTATGAGTGTGTAATTGCATTGTAAAATCTCCTCTTCTGGATGAAATAAGTTATGTACATATACATATATACACACACAGCTCCTCTGTTGCACTCTGCAGGTTAAGACTGTATTTAGGGACACAGCATCTTATACCATTTGAACCCCATTCCACTGACAGATGGAATATACCCCAAACTGGAGCTAAATTAGAGTTTAGGACTCGTTGTTTCTGAATAGCTGCAATTCTGTTGTGTTTTGAGCCAAAAAAAAAAAAAAAGGGAAAAAAAAGAAAAGCCCTTAGCCCACTGTTTGTGGGAATTACAGATGCTGTTCTGGGGTTCATGCAGCTTGACCTGGAATTGTGCTGTAACTGCAGGTTTACAAGGAATCAGCCTCTATAAAACAGCGTGTCAGCTGCCAGGGTTAAGCAGAAGCTTTTAGAACAAAATCAGGTTTTTAATAATTTAAAAATGGTGGTGTTGAATCAGGCTGTTGCCATATTGATAACTCATGCTTCTAATTTATATAAAGAACAAGGAGTGGGGATACTGTGCAGTAAAGCAAATATCCCTCTAAAGCTGTGGTTTATGGCTTTCAGAAGTTCTCTACTTGGTGTGCTGAACTCAGAGCACTCTGCTCTCCCCTTTCATTAGTTTGCATGGTACTAATGATATTCATTTTCCCTCCCCACTTCTCCCCATCCTGATTATTTTGGTTTCATGCCGTGGCAAACGATTTCCTTTGTAGCTTATGAGAGTTGAAAACAAATTCCTTAAGTATTAAGTGTTTCACACAACTGGTAACTTAAAACCCGATGGATGATGCATTCAGACATCGAAAACACCCTTAACAGAATAACAATCAAAAGTCTAAATAAACGTTTTTCATTTTCTCCCCCTGCCTGGCAGGCCTCCCACGGCATCACCATGCAGCTCCAGCAGCAGTTGGGAGAAATGAGTCTGGAAAGTAAACTCATCTCCTCAGCGTGGGGCTGGGAGGTAAATCCACTCTGTTTGTTCCATTTGACGCTGTAGTTTCATAAACACGGGGAACAAGCTCCACCAGATGCCCAAATCAGAGATTGTTGTTAATACAATTATCCTTGTATGGCCACTGAATGGGTGGATGATGACATTTGCATACATATAGAGCTTAATCTGGAATCACGGGGCAGTTTTTTTTTTGGTTTTTTTTTTTTTTTTTTTTTTTGTTTTTTTTTTTTTTTTTTGCCCAAAACCGTATAAGTTTGCTAAAGCATTCTCTGCATAACAGAGCTTTTTATTTACAGCTACTTGGATTGGCAGACAGCTTATTTTTCAGCCGTGCCCTCCTCTGCCGGGGGTCACATCCGTTCGCTGGCACATGGCACTGACTCCTCGTGTCACAGCGAGCGCGGTGCCCGCTCCTGCCGGGCTGGGAGGTGTCAGACAGCTTGTGTCCTCCACGGGCTCCTCGCTTCCCTGAGCGATCTGTCGTAAGGAAGAGTGGCAAAGAAAGAATTTTTCAGCTGGCAGTTGATGAAGAGCACAATGAATGTCACGGTCAAGAGCAGAAAGAAAAACAGAATGATGTAAGTCACCAGGTCTGGCTTATTTATTTCCCCTTCTTTCAACGCCCTGGCTGTCGACATGTAAAGAGCAGAGGAGCTCACGGGTCTCGGGGTGCTGCCCAGGTAGGGAGTATTGGTCTGAATGATTAGATGAGCTTCAGTGGCACTGGTTGAATTTAGCAATTCACTATACATGTTCTTGCTTAAATTTCCTCCACGGCAGAAGTAAAGCAGGAGGGCAAACGCAGTCAGCCTTTGGCATGGGAAAGAAATAATGGTCCTGCTTGCAAAAGGCTGCAAACCGGCCACATGTTGTCTAAAAGCAAATTAATTCACTTGCACGCCTCGGTGGCTTTCTTTGAAATCTTCTTGGCTCATATTTACAGCATTCATCCACAAATACGAATCAAAAATCATACAGGTACCTCGTGTCCTGGCCCTGGTTCCCCCAGCACGCCTCCTTTGGGGGGGAGAGGCACTGGCTCATCTGCTGGTCAGCCGGGACGTGCTGGGAGCGCTGGGAATCTGCTGGGAGCCCCTGGGATGTGCTGGGAGCCCTTGGGATGTGCTGGGAGCCCCGTGCCACTGCTCCACCTGCATGGGGCTGGGGAGAGCCTCTTCCAGCAGAGGAGCCCCGGCTCGGGCTGGCAGCTCTCACTGTCCGTGCAGGGGAGGCACGACGGCTTTCCAGCTGATTTTCGGGAGCGGGATGCTCATAAATCCAGGGTTAAATGGCATCTGCGGGGAGAGGCAGCTGCCGCCTTGAGATCCTGCTGGATTTGCCGTCGCAGTTCCTGCCTCGGGAGGCTCCGTGCTGCTGAAATCCCGGCGCTGGGAAGCATTAGTTGACTTTCTTAATCCCGGAGCCGGCGGGAAGAGGCTGAGCTTTCTACTTCAGCTTTCCAGGCACTCCTTTCAATTGCTCTGAGAAAAAGAAATTTAAAAATAGTAATAATAATAATTGAGCGATGTCCCTTTGTTCAGAAAAAAAAAAGAAACACCAAAAAAAGCCTCCCTGGGAATGGGAGAGGGTCAGTTCTTTGGGAAGCTCCTCTGTGCCCTCGGCTCAGCCCAGCTCCGAGGTGGGAGCGTGCAGGGCTCTGTCCAACATGACTTTCCCCCCTCCAGGAGCTCCAGCGCAGCGTCGCTTCCCTCCGTGGGAAGGGGAGAAGTGCGTGGTGGTGCCGACCAGCTCCGCAGCCCGTGGTGCATCTGGCAGTGACACGATGCTAAAAAGGAAGAGATCTTCGGATAAATTCCCGTGAGTGCCTGAGGCTCTGGCTGGAGGTTTTGAGCTGGGGGAGGGTAGCAGAGAACGGGACAAAAAGAAGAAAATTGCCTCAAAACCTTCCTTTCTTCCTCAGACCTTTATTATTAAAATCTAGAGTAATCAATGTCTTCTTTTTTTGTTTCCCCTCCTTCTCCACGATCCCCAGCACCCTCTCCAGCCTGACAATTACCATGTTAATTCTTTTTTTTTTTTTTTCCAGCAAATTGCTTTATGCTGCTATTAACTGCTGGCTGCTTGCCAGCTCCTCTCACATCTCCCATGCATCAGATAAGCGCCGTTAATACTTTTATTTTAACTGCATTGCAACTTGAAAAAGGGGAGCTGGAGGCAAGAGGAGCGAGGGAAAGAGGAAAAACTGGGCAGAGGAAAGGGTGAAACACCATCTCCAACCCCACAGTGTGGAGGCTGATCCCAGCAAACACTAAAGCTGCTTAGGATGAGCTATTGCAGCCAACAGCCCCAGTGGTTTAACATTTCACTTAATGTAATAAAAGTTTCTGCCGGGAGAGAGGGGGAATGAAGAGAAATCTTCTGGTCACTTAGATTTGAATCAAATCAAGTCAAATCCCTGCCACACCTTCTGAGGCCCTGGCCAGTGTGTTCCTCATCTCCTGCCGAGCTCCAGGTGCTCCAGGTAAAGCCCTTGTGCCTCCAGCAGCTCTGCTGGGGTGGTTGGAAGCTGTCACATCTCTGTCATAACCCTGTTCATATCCTCCTGCATCCACCCTCAGGAAAACCATTACCTACCTGTTTATCTCCAAGTCCTGGGGACCTTTCAATTCACAAGATTTTACTCTAAGGAAGGTTTTCCTGATTTTTGTTTCTCTCTCTCTCTTTCCCCCCTTTTTTCAGCCCAAGTGCTCTAATTCTTCCAGGATGGAAGGGGGAGCTTTTCCTGCCTTTACCCAGTGCTCCTCCTGGGGACACATCTCCTGCCTGCAGAGCCACAGTAGTTACTCTTATTTACTCTGTGTGGGTTCAAAGAACAGGATACCCAGGCAGGCAGCCATGGGGGCTGGAAAAATCAACAGAGCCATAAAAAAGCTAATAGAGTTTGCAACTGTCATGTTGCAATGTCTGCTTTCATGTCTCCTTGAAGTAAGAGAGTCTATGAGCAGCAGCACCACAAGGCTGGGTGTCTTCCCAGCACCATCCCATCTTCAGCTCTCTCCTCCCTGAACTGTTTCTTGAGCATAACCAAACTCTGCATCCTTTTTTATTTATGTCCTTTATTGTTTTTATTAGCCTGTAGGGAAAAAAAGGAAACCAGAAGGCATTTGGGGCTGAATCCTACAAATAGTGTGGGTGGTCTTAATTTGCAGGTTCTCTGCAAATGTTACCAACTCTGTAACAGGGGGTAAAATACTACGAAGATGCACATGAATGTCATAGTCAGTGGTGTGTTTTGTCCCTGCACAGAAATGTGTGGTTTTTGGCAGTCCCAGGGTGCTCCACTCGATGGCTCGGAGTCAAACTGGGCAGAGGTGGAGAAGGAAGGGCTCTGCCCGGGGCTCCTTGGCACCATTCACCTCCCTCCCACGCCTGTGGGGAGCGTTCCCCTGAGCTGTTGGAGGTGTCCCTGCAGGTGGGTGACACAGTCACGAGTATGGGACGGGTTCCTGGCTAATGGGAGAGGGCAAAGGGGCTGTTTGCTCTGCCAGGGCAGTGCCTATAGACACGGGGTGCCCCTCTGACACTCCTCTTCCCACCCCTCCTCACAGGCGGGTTGCTCACAGAACCAGAATCTTTAGGTTTCCCTTTTGCTCCTCCCAAGTGGTATCCCTCGTTCTGCCCCAGATTTCTGCCCCAAAGATACAGTGGTTCAGCTCCAGGGCCAGCACTGCAAATTGAGGATTGTTGCTGATGGTCCTGGTCCAGACGCCCGACGTGGGGATAAATCCTCTGGGTGTTTTCCAGGCGCCTCGTGTGCAGCCAGGGAGCTCTGGGAGCACAGAACTCCTCCTGCTTTTTTGGCTGCCTGGCTGGCACTCACATAGAAACTGATGGGAAGCCTTGGGAGGAAATCAGATGTGTTTTCTGCAGCACTGTATCCAGGCTTAATCTCAAAACAGCTAAATTGCCATAAATAACACCTTAATTGCAAAAATAAGAGCTGATCCTTTCCCTTTGTTCTCCTTAATTTGGAAGAACATTTAAAGTCTTCTGTTCCTTGTAATTTTTCCTCATTAACTTATTTCTTATTTAGTAGTTTTGTTGTTGTCATTCCTTGTTTTCTTTTTTTAAATTCTTTCCCAAGGCTTGTTTTGGGACTTAATGGGCTTGTTTTGTTGGATTTTATGTGCACTGGCAGTAGCACTGTGAGGACAAACACAGAGCCTCTGACACTGGCTGGAGTTTAATGATAATAAACCTTGGAGTGTTGCAACTTCCTGGAGTGTTGGGAAGCTGGATCAGTGGGGTGGCATCTCAGGGACAATCCTGGGGCTGGAAAGGCTTCTGCTTCTGCAAACCCTGGACAATCCAGGGTTTGTCTTCTGCCTCTCTGGGTTTGTCTTCTCTCAGCTGCATTCAAGGCCAGGAACTTTTGTCTCAGCTATGTTGGACCTTAAGGAGTTTATTGATGGTTGTGGTGATTCAGTGGCAGTCCTGGTTCAGTCATAGTGTGAAATAAATAATGACACAAACTGTACAGAGAAAGGAGGGAGAGCAGAGCTGTGACCCTCAGCCCCATCTGCTGTCACTCTCTGGCCTGGCAGGATGATCATATTTGCTTAAAATCCTTCAGCCACCATCAAACCTGACATGAACCGGGAGTTGCTCTGTGTTCCTGCACTCTGTGAAAGGCAGGAGCCTTTCCCCATTCCAGGCTGGTAAATAATGCATGATCCCTCTCTCCTACGCTTACACAACCCCCACCACGATAAATATCAACCCAGGGAAATGAAAGTGCAAAGAAACATTATCTTTCTCAGTAATGCAACCATTTACAATCTGTGTTACGATCCTCCTGCTCTGCAGAGTGAGCAGCAGTCAGGGGGATGTTTCTATTAGCACACCAGAATGCAACAAATCACGGGCTGGAACTTTCCAGTGCCGCATAAAAGCAGCTTAAAACCTTATAAAGGAAAGAAAATGAAGATAATATACAGGGGTTATTTCCTCTTTTTAATCACTCCAAAGGAAAATACTTATTTCCAGGTGCCTGAGATTCAGTTATTAAGGGCCGTACTTTGAAGTGCAGGGCCATAAAATTTAACACCAGACACCTAATGTGGGGATCTTGCCTTTGGTGCTTAAATGTGGGGCAGGATGCCTGAAGAAATTGGCTCAAGTGCAGAGAAGTCTTGAAAATGTTTTGTTTCAGAAGAGCTTGCGTGTGCTGTTTAAAACTAACTCCTACCATTAGGTTTCTTGGGACATGTTTGCACCAGCTGAAGCAGGAGCATTGAGGAAGTTTCCAGAGAAGTCTGAGGCAGTGGGGTTGGAACTAGATGGTCTTAAGGTCCCTTCCAACCCCAAACATCCTATGATTCTATAACAGGGAGCTTGTGTGTGTTTGATCAGTGCTGTGTCCAAATCCTTTGTTCTTCTCTCAGTGCTGAGGAAAGTCGTGATTCATCGAGGAATGTTCCATTGCAGGATGGGGAACAAGCATCCCACACCTCCTGCCATCCCAGTGAGCTTTACCACTGCTCAAGTGGACGTAGGGAAATGACTCTGGCTGGTTTTGGGAGCATCCCAGGCCCCCTGCCCTGCCATCCCTGCTCCAGCACACTGGGCAGCTCCACGCAGCTTCCAAGGGGTTTTGCAGGGAGAGGAGCTTCACCCATAGGGAAAAGGCCTTGTGTGGAGTCATGTGGATTCCCTCTGTCCTGACAAAATCTCTCATTTTGCCTTTCCAGCAGCTTTCCTGGTGTGTACAGAAGGCAAAGCACAACCTGATGGTTTAATGCAGCTGGGAGTGTGTGGGTGGGCCCCCAGTGATGCTCCAGGGGAGGCAGCTTCAGCACACCCACACATGGAGAACATGAGCAGGAGGGTGTTTGGGAAGGGAAAGGAAAAGGTGTAATTGTAGAGAATGGTTGTCTTTGGTACCTCCTTTACACTTAAACTGATTTCTAGTCACACAACCCTGATTTGTGAACTGAGCTGGGAGCAAAAGGGGACACGGATGCTGTGCTGGGCTCTGTGGCAGGAGAAAGGCTTCACCCACCCCCAGGGGTGTGTCAGCTCTTGGACAGACACGTTCTGTGCTCTGAGGGCTGCCTGCATGTGTCGGCTCAGGACTGTTAGTCCTGTCCCTGTTTCTGGCCCAGCCTGTTGCTCTCCAGGGAGGTGTGTCCAAGGACAGGTCTGTGCATTAACCAGGCTGTGTGTGCTGTTCACAGTGTCTGTGTTCCCACTGTTTAACCCCAGTTGTTGGGGGTTGAATTTGAATTAAGAAAAGAAAGGATGAAGTGTTCCAGCTCACTATGAGGTTTCAGTCTTGAATACATTTTGCTTTTGGTGCCAGCAGTCCCTTACCAACTTGCAACATGAATAAAAGGCAATGTCTGTCCTGTCCTGAACAGACTCTCTGGGGTTCAGAAGCGGATTTGGGAAGGCTGTGAAAAACTGTGCTTTTCATTTGCCTCCTATTCATGTCTCTTCTCAAAGGGAATGAAGTGAGTTTGTCTCCAGGCTGCTGCACAAAACCCATCCCACCTGCATGTGTAGCCCTCTTCCTGTTTCACTGGTGTGCTGTAAAACTTCATGTTTAACCAGAGTATTGGCTTCATTGCAGGGAATTCAGAACAGAAGGAGCCTGGGGGTCCCTGTCATCTTTTGAAGTGTTGAACTCTCAGGTAGGAACCCCTTGGTACTGCCCTCCTTCTCCCCACCTTAACTTTGCTGGTGTTTGGGATGAGCCAAGGATTGCTCGTGAAGCTTCACAGGGTTCTTTTATTGTCAGTCTTTTATTGTCAGTTATTTAGGGCTTCTTGCTTGTCCAACTCACCTGTCTGGTGTCAGAAATTTTCCTCCCCCCTTGCTGGACTCTGGGAATGGTCTGTCAGTGGTGGGAAGTCGTGGCTGTGTCTGTCAGACAGCAGATGACAGGCTGGGGAGATGGGATTCC